TCAACATTTTGCACCGGTTTAACCGAATCTGTTTAAATTCACTCTTATGTTAAACCAATGCAACTTGCATATATAGATTAGCCCTAAGTCATGAAGCCTTGGGAGAAAAATGACCGTTTGTTTTCCCGGCTAGGTCGCCCAATGGTAATTTCCAGTGGGATGCAGTCAATGGACACAATGCACAAGGTTTATCAGCTTGTGAAACCGATCAATCCCAACTTCTGCATTCTCCAGTGCACCAGCGCTTACCCTCTTCAGCCTGAAAATGTCAACCTCCGTGTGATAACGGTCAGTGAATCACATGTAATGTACAGCGTATAGGGAAGGCAGGGCACAGATGAAATAATGCACTTTTACTTAGATTCCTAGATTTTGGGGATGCTGGTATTTGCTGCTGAGAGGGCAGAAAATGTCATGTTTTTCTAGTTCCCCTAAGGATCAAAGTAAAAGCTTCTGCTGGAGCCCTGATTGGCAGAATTTGGCATCAAGGAATTTGATTTAAATTAAAAAAATTAAAATGGAGATATCCTATCTCCTAGAACTGGAAGGGACCTTGAAAGGTCATCAAGTCCAGCCCCCTGCCTTCACTAGCAGGACCAAGTACTGATTTTGCCCCAGATCCCTAAGCGGCCCCCTCAAGGATTGAACTCTCAAACCTGGGTTTAGCAGGCCAATGCTCAAACCACTGACATATATTACCAGTCGACACATGCACACTTAAACAGTGCTGGGTGTGAAATATACATGGAAATATTATCTTGTGCCTGCACTCTGACGTGGCATAAGACAATGTGTAGGCAATCAGACACTAAGAACCTAGATAATAGGTCAGGTCAGATAACTTTTAATTAAAAATATTTCCAATGAAAAGCAAGAATGTGACTAAAATGCATCTGTGCCCTGAGGTAGTATGCTCCTGTTGGTAGTAGGCACATGGATATTTGTGATTACTAAGGATACTACAGTAAGAAAATAAATGTTTTCCACAATTTTGCAAACATTTAAGCACATGCTTAACTAAATGCACACGAGTAGTTGCATTGTTGTCAGTGAGACTACTCACTTGTGCATATATAAGCACTTTTAGGATCAAGTCTGAAGCATCCTCTGCTGCAATGTTACATGTGGTGCTTTATTTTAAGGTTAGTCTGTATCCAAAGGATTTTATAGACATTTTTAAATTGGTTCAGTCCAGTTGACTCTTGGATGGGAACAGAGAGACACATTGTTAGTGTAACCCACTATCTTTGGGGTTTAGGTGCTGATGGATACAACTTAACTAGGAAGAATACCAGAGACGTTTTAAGGTACAAGGAGCCTACCCTTCCTTACTCATGCTGGTTGTCCCAGTGAACCCCTTAAACAAAATCAGGCTGGTCACTAGTGCAGTGCAGCTAGTTGGTATGAACTGAAAGCAGGATTTACCTGTTAAACAGCCAACCGTTTGTTTTATGACACTAGTGGTCTGTATATTCACGTACAGTCATTGTTACATTTGCTCTCTGTGACTCTGAAATTGATATCCTTATAATTCAGATCAACTTTGTTGTCATTCAAGGCGTATCAGTCAGCTTTTCCAGATATCCCCATTGGCTATTCTGGACATGAGACTGGCATAGCCATTTCAGTAGCAGCAGTTGCTATGGGTGCTAAAGTACTGGAACGCCATGTGACTTTGGACAAAACATGGAAAGGAAATGATCACCAGGCATCCCTGGAGCCGAATGAACTGGCAGAATTAGTGAGAACAATCCGTCTGGTGGAAAAGGCAATGGGGTCTCCAGTCAAACAGCTCTTGCCCTGTGAAATGGCCTGTAATGAAAAGGTAACTTTCCTTTTGAATTCACGTGTAGCTAAAGGCCAACTAGATTGACAACTAATTGTTCTTCGTTTAGTATATAGGAGAAGCAACTTGCAAACTGTAACTGCAGATACTCTTCTCCCATTAATAAGCTCCTTCTGCCTCCCCATCCCAAACCCTTTTGCTGCTCATGTGTTGACACTGCTAATGCTTCAGTTTTTCTTAGCACAGACTTACTACCGTGTGTAATTCATTCATTCGTTTTGTCAGCATATAAATATTTCTACTGATAATCTTGCCAAGGTGGGCAAGTGCAGTGCAGCTCCAGTTAACCAAAGGTTGGTTATGGTGCCCTCTGGTAGTCAGGCTTGAGCCTTAGGCATTCGTAGACCTCTTCTCTTCTAGTAACTTGACCAGTCTTGGGGAAGGCAGCGGGCTCTCTTCACTGTAACTAGAAGAACCCCAGTCATTCACACCCCTGATTCTAGAAAGGATTTGAGTGACACCTGTGCCCTCAATACAACGTGGCATTCAGCTGTATTTACAGTGAAGATTTCCATACTAAAACATCTTCACTAAACTGATTTGAAGTGAGTGCACTTGAAAGTAGAGCAGACAGGGGAGAGGAAAGTCAGTGAGTTTTCTTTGTAGCTGGTAAGAAAAAAGAAAGACCTCATTTTCAATCTTTCGCTTGTCCTTGATACTTTATGAATTAGAATGCACTTGGTTCAATAAACTAATCCTCTTCTGTTGGTATTTCTGTAGCTGGGGAAGTCTGTGGTGGCAAAAGTGACTATCCCTGAAGGTACGGTGCTGACTCTTGACATGCTCACAGTGAAGGTGGGAGAACCTAAAGGATACCTCCCAGAAGAAATTTTTGATCTGGTTGGCAAAAAGGTCAAAACAAACATTGAAGAAGATGAAACAATCACTGAGGATGCAATAGAAAATCATGTTAAAAAAGTGAAATGCTAAATGTAAGCATTCACATCTGTATTGTTCCTAACATGCTGTGCAGTACAGTACTGCAGCCATACTTTTTGGAATTAATAGCGTGGTAGATTAGAAATGAAGGGATTTAGGTATGAGAATCTGAACAGAATTTCTATTTCATGTTGGCAAAGAGATATTTGCTGCAAACTTACATGAAATTATGAACCCCGTTTTATTAAAGTTGTGTAATATTGTGTTTAAAAAAGGATGTAATCTTCAACATCACCAAAGATCCTGTTCAGAAGCATCTTGTATGCTGCTCATTGTCAGGATATCACGGTAATGGTTAGTTGGGTGAGAAGATGTGTGTGGGTTTATTTCAGGTTCCTTTTGGGATGATCTAGATCTAAGATGTCAATATGCGCATACCAGTCTCAGTAGCACTAGCCTAGCAGAAACTTCTCTCATTAGACAATTATGCAGTAAATATTCCCGGTGCCCCTCCCCCCCCCCTTTTTTTTAAACACCTTTCAATCATCTGATGCTAGAGACTGGATTACATAAGAACAGCCATACTGGGTCGGACCAATGGTGACCCTACCAGGTAATGATCAAGTGATCTCTCTCCTGCCATCCATCTCCATCCTCTGACAAACAGAGGCTAGAGACACCATTCCTTACCTGTCCTGGCTAATAGCCATTAATGGACTTAACCTCCATGAATTTATCTAGTTTTCTTTTAAACCCTGTTGTAGTCCTACCTACAGCGACATACAGCACTGCTGCTCCACTGTGACAACTCATTTGTGTCTCCCTGCTACCTTTCTGCCTCTTGGTCTGTTGCCTCCCCATCATCTCCTTTACCGTGAGAACTGCAGCCTCCTGTTGTGGCAGCCCGTGCTCCTCGCCAACTTGTGCACTGACTAATGCCTGCTGCTTCGCTCCTGCATGAAGGAAGCAGGGTTACCGGCTAGAAGAAATGGCAGCTGTGGGCTGCCGGTCATGCGCTCTTCAATTCCCTTAATAACTGGAGCAATACCTTATTCGAATTCATGTTAACTAACTGATAGCAGAAGTCATTTTTATCAGTGAAGTTGATGGAACTTTCTGCTTCTTATGACTTTAGGTATCTTGGACACCCTGACAATATAAGCAGAGCTGTGGGCTGCTTAATGTTGATCTTAAACGTACTACTCCAGTGCCAGGAGACTGTATGGCTATACATTTAAGATAGGAAGAGGTTGTTTCATTCAGCTTCTTGCTTAAATTGTATGGATCGTGCTTGTGAGCTTCAGTTGATGCAGCATGCTTGCCTTAATAGAAGATGATACTAAATGATTGTTGAAAGAAACATTTTTATTGAAAACAAACAAAAATAAATCAAGTTTGTCAAACAAAAGCTGCTACTTTGCCATTTCATTTTAAAGAGGAGACCTAGCCCTTGCATTTTCTTAATATCCCATGCACAGAACATTATTGTAGGCGTGCCTCTGGCATTGGAAACCAAGGCGTGTTCTAGGCCTGTGCTCTCACAAGGTTAGCGAATACAGTAGTTAAAGCACTACAGGTGGCTCTACACTAGAAAAAGGACTTCTGTGGATACAATCTAAGAAATCCTTCTGAATTTTAAGTATTATGGATTTGGGAAAAGAACAAACCACCACTCTTATGCACATCCAACTTTAAGAATACAGTAACTTTGAGAGCAACAGTCATAACAACCTGCTTGCATGTGAGTGTGGTAAAACACTAGCAGCACTAATTGAGTGCCTTTGAAAGTAGAAAGCTAGAGAGAAATTAAAGTAGTATCTCCCAGCTCCATAAGCTCTGCAATGGAAGTGACAATGCAGCTAGAATCTAATGTGGAGATGGTCCTTTTCCACATGCCTCTGACTTCCAAATGGGGAGTGATGGGGCTGTACAGCATCACAGTGCTTCCTCTCACACCACCTTCAGAACGGCTGCGGTGTGCATTTCTGGAGAAGGAGTGCATCTACAGAAAGTTTCACTGTAAAACAGTAGGACAGGCTTCCCTCAATGACCAGTGTGCTGTACTACTTAAATTAGTTCAATTCAAGCTCTACTTACTGGACCCCAAACACCACTAGCTAGTTAGTGTTGATATAAAAGTCCTCACTCCAGGAAAATCTGAAATTAGTTTTAGGCAACAGTGAAAGCAACCCTTTGATTGTTCTTGGAAGTGGATGAAGCTTTTTACCATGAACTATTTCGGTTACTGGATCTGTTCTCCAAATTCAAACTGAAATAACAAAATTAAACTAAAAGTTGCATCTTACATAAGCCAAGCTCAGAGTAATACCTATGCAAGATGGTAATCTCTCCAGCCAGCTGGAGGTAGGGTAGTAGTTTAATAAAATGGACTACTAGCTCCTGTTCCAAAAATCAGTTGCATAAACTATGACAGCTATCACGTAATTAAAATAGGACTGTGTTCTATTTTGTAAGCCACAATCCACTACAAAAATACAGTGTAAAATTGCTTTAGTCTTTTAGACACCCTGAGGAGGATTCTTACAATTCCATAACCTGAAGTGCCATTCATAAATGGCAGAAGAGCACTTGGAAAATACAATCATGTAAAAATCACTCATCTATAATAGTATCTTCTGGGGTATTTGATTTGACAAAGACCTGAGTATTTATCTATACTGGGTACTGAGAATCACATTTTAGTGATCAGTATTGAGTAAGAAATGTAGCTAAAGCCTTTAAAGCCTTACAGCGTGGTTGCTGTAATCTGTGAGAATTAATTTATAACTCCTTTTAAAGTGGTTTTACATACAAATAATTGCAAAGCAGGCTCCAGTTCATGTCTTTGTCTCATCACTTCTTAAGTCAGTTTGCAGATTGTTATTGCACCTTCCCACAGCCTAAGTGCTGGGTAAAGAGGCTCTGTGAACTTGCAGCGGAACGTATGCAGGTGGGCCATACCATCCGTTACATTATAGAACGAGAGGATGCCAGCCTCGTAATCCAGGAAAACACCAATTCGTTCTGGATCGTCATTGATCAGGATCAGGGTCCTCTCTCCCTTGTGAAATGCCCAATATTCAAGGTCAAACCTTTTTATACACCAGGATGCTCTGTTCCACCCTAATCGACAAGTTTCGGCGTCTCCATGTCTCTTGATGGAAGGGTACGCTGCTCCAATCCACCATCCTTGTCCAGCGTGAAGCACGTCCACTTCCCAGTAATGGCTCCCAGAGAAGAAAGCATCTTTGCTCAAGACTTGCCATAATTTATCAAATCTCTGGGGGCTATAAGGGTAAAATTTCCTCCTCCAGCTGCAGCTTACTGTAAGACGATCCTCAGACAAACTCAACCTGGGATGAAGGCTCTCGTATTCCAAGGTTGGTGATCTCGCATCTAGAACCAAAACCGTAAGTATGTTACATGTAATTACTTGAAACTTGCATGAGTGACTAATAGAGATCTCTTGAGACAAGTCAGGCCTGATTCCTGTGAATGATGGCAAGTCTATCAGACCGCTGAAGGTAACTGTGGTAGAGGACTGTAACTTTGTTGGGAAAATGCAACTAAAAAAAAAAGGGGGGGGGGAGGGAGAAGGAAAACTGCATTTTTGATTACTTGTAGTTTAAGAAACTTGTCAAGGGAGAGACCCTAAAAACAAGCTATAAATTTACATACTAGTTTAAAACATTAGTAAAATGTAACCAAGGAAAACTGCTTTGCATAAGACTGGATGGAGGACATGCAGTCTTATGGGAGAACCAAATTTTAACCAAATTCAGTACATTAAATAACAAATAAGTATATAATATCATATATAAATAAAAAAATACCAACTATTGCTGTAGATTTTTAAGGACAAGTTTATTTTTCTTAGAACTGATTTTTCTACTTGACTCAAATGGCTGCAGATGCCTCATGGAAAACTAAGTAAACAGTCCTATTAGTAATGGTTTTGCTGCTGCATGCCATATTTCTGAATTATTTTTTCTCCCTGCCTCTCTCTCTGAAGATTATCAGGATATTTTGCTTGTAAATAGGATCTGTGGTCTTTAAACATCCACCTGTCTTTTAATGTCACACATGATAATACTGTGATGACGTATTTGGGCACTGACGTTAATAACTAGTGATATATAGTAATTACACAGTACTTTTCGTGAGCAAAGGCCAGAATAAGGATGTGAATTTACATCAGCTGAAGATCTGGCCCTAGATTTCAAAGCTATCTACAAAATTGGGCAAGTATAATTTTTCTAGTTTTATAGAAGGGGAAACTAATACAATATGGCTAAGTGAGAATTAAACAGCAAGAGCTTGTGTTTTTATGCAAACAGCCTTAGTAATAAAAAATGACAGAAAAACAGTTTTTTTTTTTTTTTTTTTTACACACATGCTTTGTGTGTGTACACACAATAGTTATACATATACACATTGTGGACCGGATTCTTCCAATGACCTTATGTAGTCATTTACACCAGTGCAGGCTGAGTCCAAAGTGCGTGTGATAAGCTACCATTCTGATTTAGTAGTATTTTACTTCAAATTTGTAGTCCGTACAGGTGCAAATGTCTAGAGAGCCGATTTGTCACTTCCTTGCACACAGTATGTGTTTATCAGTGTGTTTTCCAAAGTGAAAGTCTTTTACACTGTCTGAAAAAATTAGGTCTTGTCTAGACAAGGAAAGGTGGTTGGGCTTAGCCAGCTCATGTTAGCTGCTCTAACGTTTTTCCTACCCTACTTAAAGCCTCATTGGCCCTTACTTTAAAAAGCAAAATGACAACTTATTAAAGGTGTTCGCCCAAAGCAGCACTCACATGCTTTCTTAGCAAATAACTTTGTCCACAAAGCCTTGAGTGACAGCCAGAGACACAAGTGCTTAGAATTCTTAACAAACTGGATTGTTTTGTGATTTGATCTTTATATAGTCACCCATATATGTGCGTTTGAACTGTTGCCTGTTTAGGCGGTCAACTCCTTGGGCTGAGGGTTTTGTCTTCCATTATGCTCCATACAGGGCTGAACACAATCAGTTGCTGTACAAGCCTTGGTGGTTAGGGCTCACCTGGGATGTGGGAGACCCAGGTTCAAGTACCTGCTCCTAATCAAACAGAGGAGAGACCAATGTAATAGAAAGAGAGAGCCTGAGACATTAGGTCTGGTATGAGGCCTGAACTAAAGTCAGGCCCTGTTACAAAGCAGATACCTGCTTGCAGGTTCAATATCTGATATGTGAACTTGGCAAGAACAGGGCTGGTATTGCAAAAACACAAGCAGTCCTAGGCACTAGGGATTCACGTAAACACATTCCAGCAGAATAGTACTAGAACACCCCGATACAAGGGTATGGTGTAAACACACTCCCCAAAGATAATACAGGGACACACTGACCTCTCCTAAGGATGAGGTCAGGATGGCAGGGTGAAGGATAGAGATGTTTTGATTGAACCCACATGTACAAGGTAAAGAGTGTAACTATCTATGTCAGAGGGGCTGTGATAAATGAAGGTGGGGGAAGCTCCCTTTTATGGACCCCCCAGTTAGCTATAAAATCCGTTAGTAGCTGTTCTCTACTTGCTTTACCTGTAAAGGGTTAAAAAAGCCCATAGGTGAAAGGAAGGGAGTGGGCACCTGACCAAAAGAGCCAATGGGAAGGCTAGAACTTCTTAAAATTGGGGAAAAAACTTCCCCCTTTGTCTGTCTGGTTGTTCTCCCGGAGAGCAGGGACAGGGCTGGAGCTATGCTATAAATGCTTGGGCCAGGTATGAAAATCATCAGCTCATACCTAGAAACTACTCATTTGAAACCCCAGATATGTAAGTAGATCAGGAAATGTCTAGGAAGATGCGATTAGGTTTATCTCTTTATGTCTTGTGGTCTCCTCTGTGCTAACCCCAGGTGCTTTTGTTTTGCTTGTAACCTTTAAGCTGGACCTCAAGAAGCTATCTTGATGCTTAATCCTTGTAATTGGTTTTTTTTTTTTTTAAACCTAGCAAAAAGCCGAAGTTCCAGATGTATTTTCTTTCTTTTTGTTTTTAATAAAATTTTCCTTTTTTAAGAACAGGATTGGATTTTTGTGTCCTTAAGAGGTTTGTACATGTTGTTTAATTAGCTGGTGCAACAGTTGATTTCCTTTGTTTTCTTTCTCAGCAATTCCTGGGGGGAGAGGGAGGTGAAAGGGCTTGAGGGTATCCCACAGGAAGGAATTCCCAAGTGCGCCTTCCTGGGTTCTCAAAGGGGTTCTGCACTTGGGTGGTGGCAGCATCTACTCATCCAAGGTCAGAGAAAAGCTGTAACCTTGGGAGTTTAATACAAGCTTGGAGTGGCCAGTATTAATTTTTAGAATCCTTGCAGGCCCCCACCTTCTGCACTCAAAAGTGCCAGAGTGGGGAATCAGCCTTGACAGGGGCAATGCCTAACTTGTTTGTATCAGTGTATAAAAGAGGGGTCACGAGGGGGTGTCTTTGTCCAGCCGAGGGGGAGCGGAGAGTCCTGCCGCTCACTGAGCCGAGTCCATTGTCACAGGCATACATGTCTTAATATCCCCATAGAGTCTACCGGGTGCTACTACGGTGCTTCAGTGACGATAAACCTGGCTGGGCACCTTTGCTACTGAACGGAGTCGGTGGTTTTCTTGGGCAGTTCGATCGAGGTCTGCTACATCCGCGATCTGTGCAGCGCTGGTGCAGCACACAGAGAGCACACACACAGAGCCAACTGACAGCAACCTGAACCTGGGTCTCCCAAAACACAGGTGCCCTAACAACCTGGCTATTCTGGCGTCTACTCCCCTACCCCCCATGCCATCCTGGACCTGAGAGACATTCGCACAAAAAGTTTTGGTTTCAAAGAATCAGCATTTTCCCACAAAAATCTTTCACCAAAAAATTCCCAACCAGCTCCAATCTTGAACACACTCTACAATAAAAAGGAAAAGGGTTTTGCCCTGGGCTAACTATCAGCATCAGTGCAGAGGAAGCTACTGCTGAATACTGTGCGTGGAAGCAAACCTACCAGCTCTGTGCCCCTGTTCTTCCTTCAGACACTGGTTAGAGCTGTGGTTCTCAAACTTCTGTACTGGTGACCCCTTTCACATAGCAAGCCTCTGAGTGCGACCCCCCTTATAAACTAAAAACACTTTTTTATATATTTAACACCATTATAAATGTTGGAGGCAAAGCAGGGTTTGGGGTGGAGGCTGACAGCTCGCAACCCCCTGAGGGGTCCGGACCCCCAGTTTGAGAACCCCTGGGTTAGAGAGAGAGAACAGTATCTGCCTGCAGTGGATGTTAATTGATGCAGAATGTTTCTCTAAACAGAAAAAGCAGCTGACCTGTAACTATTATTGTTGTGTTACTGATATTTACATGGCAGTGATTTGTAAACCTGTTAAAACTTCCTAAATAAATAAATAGTTATAAAAAATACATCTACTGCAATTCCTCTTGGCAGTCTCTACTGCCATCCACTGATGAGACACTGACGACAAAAAGAGACTGAATTAGCTTCATTAAGTTGCACAGACCTACCAACCAAGGCCCAAATGTGGGATGCAATTTGTGACAGAGACACCAGATGAGGGAGACAAAAAAATTACTCCTGCAGGAAATGTAACAAGCGGGGGGATCCTTCGCTTGGTGTAAATAACTCTCTAGAATCTCTGGCTCAATGAGTCTGCATTGCTGGGGTCAGTCATTTTTAGCAATAAAAAACAAAGGGATGCCAAATTTGTATAGAAGGCAGGTAACTCTGGGACTAAAAGGGATGATGGCCCTCAAAAGGAGAAGCAGTTGAGAAGTCTGGATCCAGTTACTCTTTTTCTAGTTACAGCTTGTAAAGTTGTAAAAATAATTGAAGGAATATACTGTCAGGTCAAATATGGCTCAAAATTTGAGATAAAAAAGAATGTAAAACCTAAGTTAAATATTTTCATGGGAGAAAATGGAGTGTGTGTGTGCGCACGTACACACCAACATTCCACTGCAGGTAAGCTCAAAATTCCAGCAAAGTGCTCAAATTGATCTGAACAAACAAAATGAGCTTGGCTGTTTTCATTCTCCAAAGGGAGAAATGCTGTTTGTTTATTTGTGCGTTACGGGTGAAAGGTAAAGTGTATTATTACTAAAACTGGAAGAATTTTAATAATCCACAGTGTTATTTGTAACTAGGACTTTACAAATCCACCAGCCTGTGGAGCACTGAACACCTCCCCTAGCAACCCAGCATTGTCAACTTTGTGTAACCAAGAAATTGTATTTCTAGCCCGTATGATTGCAAAGGTAACTTCCCAAATGCAAAGTGAATGTAAACCAATGCAGTGCTGTCTTCCTGACTCTGCAAACACATCTCCTGAAATAGAAAGATGCAAAATGCCAATCACCCAAATCATGGGTCCAAGTCACAGCTTGACAACACCTCGCTCTGCTTAACCTTAATATCAAATGCTCAGAGTGACACCTCCCAGCAGATTCAGTGCCTAAGCAAGATCAGTGTCTAGATCAGGGGTCGGCAACCTTTCAGAAGTGGTGTGCCGAGTCTTTATTTATTCACTCTAATTTAAGGTTTCGTGTGCCAGTACTACATTTTAACGTTTTTAGGTCTCTTTCTATAAGTCTATAATATATAACTAAACTATTGTTGTATGTAAAGTAAATAAGGTTTTTAAAATGTTTAAGAAGCTTCATTTAACATTAAATTAAAACGCAGAGCCCCCCGGACCGGTGGCCAGGACCCAGGCAGTGTGAGTGCCACTGAAAATCAGCTCACCTGCCGCCTTTGGCACGCATGCCATAGGTTGCCTACCCCTGGTCTAGATGAAAAGCAGGTAGTAGTATCTGACCCCGGGCAAGACAGAAGTGGTGCAAGTGGAAAGAGAACTAACCAAGGGCATATCATTCTCCATAGAGAGGCTTTGCCACTGCTGCTGGATTCCCAAGCAGTAACAGCTGCTGGAAACCCATTCTTCCATTTCTGTCTGGCCAGAGGCCATGCACGTTAGCCAGAGAGATCCACAATGTCATGATTTACATGCTAATTTAGTGCAGTGCAACAGGGTTGGGATGAAGGCATCAGTCCCAAGACTGCTCCACTGACTCAGAATATGGCAGCCCATCCAGTAGCTAAGCAACACAGGACAGCATGAGCACATCACACTCCCACTCCCGACACTGCACTGACCCTCCAGTGTGGATCCAAGGTTCTGTTTCTGAGATTCATGGTCCAAAATGGGTTGGGTCCAGGCTACTCTGACCTTCTGCCATCAAGGACAATGGAGTTTTTAACAACCAGGGTGAAACTTAGACGAGCAGGAGACAGCTGTTTCTCAGTGACTGGCTCATGGCCTTGAAATTGGAGTGGCCACAAAACCCACCATCTTCCGGATAAAATGCAAAACTCAGAACGTTACCACAACACACCCTACTGATAATAATAAATTAAAGAAAACAATTTACTTCATAGCCTTCCTCTGTATTCTGGGAGAGAGAGAGAGACACCAAAAAACCAACACCAAATAGGCGACATGGGGGACCCATGTAATTCTGAAAGGTCTTGTCTACCTGGGGAGTTATTCCTGAGAAACTCCATGTGGGGCTGCTCTGCTGAATTTAATTAATTCACACCCTACCTTATTCCAGATTAACTTTCAGATGTAGACAAGCCCTAAGAAAGGCAACTATCATGAGGGGGCGCAGAATATGAATATCTAAAGAAGCTACATTAGATACACTAGCCAGTTCATAGGCTTGCAGGTGTAAATATAAATGCTGGGTCAAGATTTTCAAAAGTGACAGCAATTTTTGTTTCCTGACATGAGACACCATAGAGGGGTCTGATTTTCAGAAAGTACTGAGCATCCCCCTTTGAAGGTGTCTCAAGATAGGTCCCCAAAACCTGAGGCATCCAAACTCAAGGCACTTCTGAAAATCTTGACCTTCGTTATTAATTCTGGGAACACAGGAAAGTTTGGTTTAATGTTACTTACGTTTTAAAAATAACGATCGATCAACTGTAGATGTTGTTTTCAGCAACGCGCCAGGTTCCTTCTTTGAAGTGGCATTGAGGCTGCTGAAAATGTCTAAGGCACAAATGAAAAGAAGCTGTTTAGAAAACGTTCTTCTTGGGAAGACATATCTGCTGCTTATAAGGGGAGTTTGCAGGGAAAAGTGCTTTAAATTCTAACAGCAATCTGGGCAAAGCAAAATTTCACATTCCCTTTTTCCAAGTTGATTGGCTGACAATTACTATAAATTATCTTTACTAGTGGAAGGGGAGTTTATTTTGTACAAAATTCTACTTCCCACCCTAAGTCCATTTGCTAGCATGGATATGCATAACACACAACAGAGCCACTCAGAGAGTCTGGGATGCAACACACTCCACTAATCATGCTACAGGACTGAATCTCTGGTTTCTAAGCATCCAGGGAAAAAAACACAGCAGAGAGCGTATTCTCCCTATACAGATGATTGTGAAATGGAACATAGCCAGACAGCTGATGATTCATGCAAAGGTGCTGTGATCCCAAAGGCGGTTACAGGGTACTATCACTCATTCCCTTCATTACATCACCAATAAACTTCCAGGATTCCCCACTGCTCCTGAAGCCATCCTGTTGTATCATGCCATACTTGACTCAATGTTGTCTAGTGCATCTTTCACAACGGGGTCAACTCAGGGATAACTGGGCGGCCTGTGATATACCAGAGGTCAGACTAGATATCTAATGGTGCCTTCTGGCCTCGTAACCTATGACTCTATAAACAGTTGGGGTTTCCATATGGCTGGGGTGAGGAGGTTGTTTTTCTTCATGGCCCTATATTCTAACAGGGGTGCCCTGTCCTTAAAAATGCATATCAGCCACATGTAACAAAATAAGCTAGCTCAAAAAGTGTTATAGTTCAGAATGCATTCAACACTCTGGGGAGAATATCTGTTATTATAGCACTGCTATTTAACGGTATTACAGAGTATAACCTTGTCTTACACACTGAGCTAGCCACAGTGTGATTAGGAGTGAGATAGTGCAGCTATGGGAGCTGGGCCTCCTAGGTTCAAATTAGGCAGCTCTTCTTAGGAGACTTTAAACTAGGTAGGTTATTATTTAGATCTGAAGCTCTTTGGGGCAGGGACTGTCTTTTTGATCTGTGTTTGTACAGCACCTAGCACAGTGGGTCCTGGTCCATGACGGGCTCACCAGCTTTACTGCAATACACGTAATAAATAACGCCATGAATAATAATAATAATAAAGGGGGAGACTGGGAGCTCTTTCAGTTAACTCAGTAATGGGGCACTTCTAACAGAGTATGGCAGAAGATAGAGTTGATCGAAAACAAAAGCAGAAGACAACGCTCAGTGTATGGGCATAGCCATCCATTTGGAACATGGAAAACAGGCATGAGAAATGTTGCTAAGCTATGGCCATTGGAGCTGCGTAGGAGGAGTCTCCCAGCAGACATGTCAATACCGACAGGTAGACATTATGTAGAAAAAAACAAAGGGAAGAAGGGGCGTGTATTTATCACTAGAATAGCTAAAGTACTTATAAGGCCAGAAAGCTCTAAACTGCTGTCACAGAGAATCGTGGTGATAAAAACAAAGGAGAGATGCGCATGAGCAACTGCTCTAGGCTAGTAAGGCTATAGGAGAGACATTTCTCAAGTTACTCTTGCCTGCCCTAACACAGCTGCATATGCATTTAAGGCATTCCTAAATAATATAGGAGACAACATGCAGATGAAATTGAGTGTATATGTGATGGCTGGCACATGTGATGGCTGTAGCGCTAAAGAGCCAAGGCGCCGTAGCTGGGGGCTGTAACAACTCATATTCTCTATGGATTGGCACAGAGGGAGACCTGCATACACATTCACCAATAGGTTACAGTGAGATGCAAAGGAATTCTGGGAATAATCTGAACTAATGGAACATCTTACTGGGTTCTACATTACTAGTCACAACTCCGGAGAAACATGTTGGGGATTGGTCCTGCGTTGGAGTTGGTCCTGCTTTGAGCAGGGGGTTGGACTAGATGACCTCCTGAAGTCCCTTCCAACCCTGACATTCTATGATCCTATGAACCGCCGAAGGGACTGATTCAGGAGGAAAGATTAGAAAAGCTACATATGGCTAGCTTGGAGGAGGAGATGTCTGCCCTACCATCAGAAGTGTGACTGCAGCATGAGTAAACACTCCGGAGCCGGCTTGGATCTAACGAGCTTGCCCAACAATTGCAGTGAAGCTGCAGCAGCATGGCTGTACAAGCTCACCCGGGACCCTGGGTATGTAGTCAAGTAGCTAGCCCATGCTGCCACATCTTCAGGGCTATTGTTAGTCGAGCTGGCTAGATGAAAGCTAGCTTGGTTCTGTCTACACATGCTGCAGTCACACCTCTGACTGCAGGGTAGACAGACCCTATGAGGCAATTAAAGGGAGGACACAAGACTACAAATACGTGAAGGATGCCAACCCCAAAGACAGACAGGAAATAGTTAGGGCCCTACAAGAGCAATGAGACAAAATGTAACAGGGAAATTTAGGTTGACTATCAAGGAAAACTCCCTGATGGCGAGATTGTGGAACAGTCTCCCCAAGGTGACAGTGTAAGTTCCATTGCTACTGAAGGACCAGTGGTTTTCACAGGCCTTTCCCAGCAGTAAGTTCCGTGAGTTGGCTCTCTCGTTCCGAAGGGCTGTCACTCAGCACCCTTTTCTCTCTCTGAAGGCACTGGGACTCCCTATTTTCAGTAGTTTGTAGCTAGACAGAGGCCAAAGCTAGAACCATTTATCCTGGTGGCTTTTGGGAAATGGAACCTGCATCTAACCCACCTTGGTTTACGTTTGGCCAAAAAGAGCAACAGAAAAGTCAAGACCAATGAGGTTTTGCAGAACTGCCAGCAACAGGCAGACACATATTGCATGTGTCATGTAAAATGAGCAACAGTAATGCATGTTCAATGTACTGACTATATGGCAGTGGTGTAGTGGTAAAAGGCAAAGTGGGTAAAGCTAACCTAAACTAAACTCCTTACTCGCCAAATGAGAAACGGGTAAAAGTTTACCTGCATTTACCCTTGGCTACACTACTGCTATATGGTGCCTGTCTGCCTGCGAGCACTACTGAGTGCCAATAGTGAACAAAGAATAAGCAGACAGCATGAGGCTGCAAAATCGAAAGGGTTAAAAACACGGCACGGTCAATGGTACCTTCTTTCAGACGAGCTTCTAAAGATTTCTGCAGAACGGACTGAATAGCTCCTGCGAAGCCCCTGTAATGGTTCATAACATGCTCAAACGACATAGGCACTGGGTGCCACTGTTCCGCCGGAGCCCTCTGCTCCTGTATTTCTTTTTCTGATGCTGAGTAGTCCTGCAGACACAGAATCAAATCCTAGAGTCAGGCAATACCTTTTGGCCATTTCTTCCCTCTCCAAACCCCCACCCGGGCTCAAAAGCGGAGGTGGAGCCACAAATCTGCACTCTCTTTCTCCAGCAAGCAGGGATATATCAAAAACAATCAGTAAAACCTACTGTCCATAATAACTAAGCCCTTTAATTCTCCTCATGTTTGGGCTGCTTAATGCAATGGCAATAGCCCACGTGTTGGTGCAGCCAGCCTGCCTCCCAGTGTAAGGAGTGAGCTGGGTACTACTGCAGTCTTGGGGGAAATGTTGAATTACGAAGGGAATTTGGCCTGCCTATAGCCTTGTTAGGGTTCAGTGCAGAAAATACAAGGGCAGGCTCTGAATTTCCTACCCCTGCAGCGTGCATAGGCCAGACTGCCAAGAGCTCAGCTCCTATTCAGGTGCCTAAAGTGAAGTGGCCAGAGTTTCAATAGCGCTCCACGCCCAGCAGCTCCCACTGGTCTCATTTGGGGTGGGTGGAGGTGGACTCTCTGCTATTCTCAATGGAAGTTGTTGGGTACTGAGCACTTCTGAAAATCTGCCCCACAGCTCTTACTGCAGAGTGGTACAGTAAATCCCTGCCATAAAAAATAGGTCATGAGGCTTTGGGAGGAGCAAACACAGGCCTTCCCAAGCAACTGACATCGAAGGATCAAGTGTCCTCCTGCATTTGTGTCATAATTTTGCAGGTCTTTATGCCGTTGTATGAAGAGGATCACGGAGAGAGCTACGGGTAGCATCTACCAGTAGGTGATAGTGTAGGCCCCGCCTTCCAGAAAATGATGCTTGTCATCTGTGAGACCCTAGGAACTTCTGTGGTGTAAGTGAAGAGAACAATTGACACACTCAGCTCTCAGAGGTTTCTTAACAGGTATCCCTTTCCTCACATGTTCAGCTGGGCATGCTCTGCACAGGAGGGGGCTGGAGGTGCTGACCTTGTAAAAAGGTACAGGGATATAGAACAAATGGATATAATTTAGCCCCTCTCTTTTACTTAATGGTAAAGATCCAGGTGATCTAAACCAGCGTTTCTCAAATGCTGCCCCAGGAGCTTTTCTTCTGGCCACAGCCTCCTAGGTGGTGATTGCAGGGGGTGGAAGGTGGGGATGAAAGCAGTGGGGCTCTGGCTTCCAGCTTCAGCCCTTGGGTGGCAGGTGACAGCCCTCCAGTCGTAGGGCTTCGGGCTCCAGCCATAGGCTCAATCCCCCGGCCCCACCATTCTGCCCATCACTCCTGGCCCCCGCTGCCTCCTCCGGCCCTGGGCTTTGGCTGCGCCCCCAGCCGTGGGACCCCAGGATCCAGCCATTGGGCTTCGGGCTCTGACCCCAGGCTCAAACCCCGCCCCCCATTACTGCTGGCCCCTGTTGTGTCCTCCAGCCCTAGGCTTTGGGTGTTGGTCCTGGGCTCACCACCCTCCCCATTGCCACTGGCCCCCCGCTGCCTCCCTACCCACCTCCCCATCCAGGGCTTAATTTGTCCCCCAGCTTGCCAGGGCTGAGTAAGTCTGCTGTGAAAGGTGATATTTATATGTTTCAGAGTAGCAGCCGTGTTTATTAGAGCATAGCAGCTTATGCTCTAATAAATTTGTTAGTCTCTAAGGTGCCACAAGTACTCCTGTTCTTTTTGCGTGATATTTATATGTTCGTTAATATCGCTTTTCACTGCCTCCCAGCTAGCTAGCAAGTCTAAAAAAAAAACCAACCAAAAATGCAAAAGAAACAACAACTACCACCACAAAAGACAAGAACATGCAAAGCACCTTATCTGTGTTTCTATTCAGTTTATGTCCAGCAAAGAATAGAGACAACTGTACATTGTTTTTATTATTGAGTTTGCAAAAAACCCCTACATAAATAAATTACAATGATTTGGACACCTATATGTGCAAATGTATTTGTTTTTCCTAAAGTTAATTAAGTATTTTAGGAAAAATTGTCAGAGTGGCCACCAGCAGGAGTTGGTGACCGAACTCTGAGGCCACCAAAAATTTTGTCGTGAGAACCCCTGCATTCTAAACCCAGTTTAAAGGTGGAATCGGGACTGTGTGGGTTACTAACGGGAAGGGCAGGAGCTAGACTATTCACCAAAACAGAGAGGCAGTAATAAGGGGGAAAGAGAGGATAAGGCACTGTGTACATATGTATCTACAGAAGCAAATACAATAAGCCTCCGAAGTGGTTCACCATTAAATATCAGAGGCAGAAAGAGAGTACAATGCTACCTGTAATAACTGAATGGGATCACTTCGCAGCTGGATCTGCCTGACTCGGTCTGAGAAGCTCTCTATGATTTGAATTCGTTCTTGACATGACTCCGTCTGCTGATCATACATCATGAGGGCCCGTTGAGTCTTTTCATTTATGAATTTTTTTGTCAACCTTTCCTCTTCATCAAGTAGTAACCGGAGTTCGGCGAACTTCCCTGCCAGAGACGCTTTACTAGCCGAGGCGTGTGCCTACAGATAAAAACAGAATGGCAGACACATTCAGAGTATAAGCGTCTCCGATGTTTCTCTGTCAGACTTTAAAAGTTACATTCCCACAAAGCTTTACTGATCTGTAGCTTTCCTTTACAAAAATGGAATAGCCACAGTCCAGACAACCACACTTGCTTGGGGTTTTCCTGCTACTGTCCTGGGTGAAAAGGCTCAGGGACAGATTCTGATACCCTTACTCTCATTGACAGCATCTTAACTTCAGTGGGACTACTCACACAGTAAGATACTACTCACACAGTAAGAAAGGGCATCAGAATCTAGCCCTTAGCTAGCAGTGTCTGGAGTGACATCAGGCAGACTCCAGAAGTCTGGCAGACGTGGGATCTGGATTTCTGTGTATGCTTGAAAGGGAATATTTTATGTCCCATCATCAAACAAGTTAGGTAAGTAGAATAGTTGGAATGAGGGCATCTTAATGTGAGGGACAGCCGGCGTCAATGTCCAAACCAATAGGGAAAGGTCTCCGGATCGCACGGATAGCCATTTGCTGGGTACACTATGGAGATGCTTTCAGAGCAGAAGCTCCTGGGACCATTTCTACCTGTATGTGCTGTACAGGGCTGAGTACGCTGACAGTTCTCCACACAGAATTAGTAATAGTTTCCTGTTTTTATTGGACTCAGATCCTCACATGATGTAAATCAGTGTAGCTCCATTAACTTCAACAGAGCTACATCAATTTACACCAGCTGAGGTGGTTTATCATTTGCTATGTGTAATTATTTCAGTACAGCTCTCCCAGATATGTATGTTCCACTCCCACTAACAGGTGGCTGATTGCAGAATTGAAACTAGGGGCAGGATTTCAGTTTCAGGCGAGCCCCCGCATCTGCTAGCACCAGGCGCAGGTGCCTACAGGAAATACACTGTTCTGCTGCGGAGCTGAAGCTGTGATGTCACTCTGAGGTGGGCAGCGGTTGGCTAATTCTCCCTAACAACAGACAATATGGGTCTATGGCTTAGTCTGCACTATGCCCAGTTTGCCAGCACAGCTATGTTCACTAGAAGTGTGAAAAAAATTACACACACTCCAAGCCAATATAGCTATGCCAGCAAACACTCTGGGGTATGCAACTATCCCGACAGAAGAGTGCTTTTCTCAGCTTAGCTAATGTTGTCCTGGGAGGTGGCGTAGCTATACCATCAGAAGAACTCCTTCTGTTGGCTACGCTGCGTCTACGCTAGGGGGCTCTGCCAGCATTGCTATACTGGCAACGACTCTGTAGTGTAGACAAGCCCTCTGTATCAGTTTGACTGTGATTGCTATTTGACACTGAACATAAGAATGGTCCTACTGGGTTAGACCTAGGGTCCATCTAGCCCAGTATCCTGTCTTCCAACAGTGGCCAGTACCAGGTGCCCCAGAGGGAACGAACAGAACAGGTAATCATCAAATGATCCATCCCCCGTCGCCCACTCCCAGCCTCTGGCAAACAGAGGCTAAGGACACCATCCCTGCCCATCCTGGCTGATAGCCATTGATGGACCTATCCTCCATGAATTTATCTATTTCTTTTTTGAACCCTGTTATGGTCTTGGCCTTCACAACATCCTCTGGCAAGGAGTTCCACAGGTTGACTGTGCGTTGTGTGAAGAAAGACATTGGGCTTGTCTGCATGGGAAACGTTTACCAGTTATACCAGTACAGTTAAACAGGTATAACTCCCCATGTGGGCACTCTTATTCTAAAAGACTGGCTTTTTTCAGTTCAGCTTAAACCCCTCTGCGACACTCTGTACCCCAAAGCAACGCCCTGGCGCCCCCATATTTACCATGGTGATAGGATTATGATATGATTTGTACAAAGTATGCCTTGTGAGGTATCATTCTAAAAGTCTTGATCTGTTGAACATTAATATCCTGTTGGATTGTATGTGCTGTCATCGTATCTGCAGTTATAAATATTGACTATGTACCACTATTTCAAATGTGTTTGCTCCAGGGGTGACACCCCGCAGGTAGGTTACATCCAGTCTAACCAGCACATTGTAAGTGGACTATTCAAGGTCATGGCCCATTAAGAAACCCACCTGGTGGGCCTTCCTGTGAACACTTCATCCAGTATATGGATAATGGCTGCTATGACTCATCGAAGCATGCAAGGGCATGTGACTAGATCATGTGATACTGGACTCCATCTTGTGCCTGCACTTTCCCACAAACTGGGCTGGGGGCTTTGTTTGGGACAACGATGTTCCCTCCACATGGCAGAAGCTATAAAAGAGGGGAAGGGACATCATCACGTGGCCTCTCTCCCCCCACAACTCAACACTTGGAAACACGACTAGCGGACAAAGACTTTGACTGGGAAGGGGGTCCCAGGCAGGAAAGGTGGATTCCAGCCTATGTATGAAAGATCTGCCAACTGTTTGTACTGTCAGGGTGAGACACGGCTTGATTCAAATCGTGACTAATTAATAGAACTCAGACTGCGATTTCATTTTATTTCGTAGGTAATCTACTTTGATCTGTACACTTACTACTTATAATCACTTAAAATCTCTCTTCCCATAGTTAATACATTTGTTTTACATTTTACCTAAAAACAGTGTGGTCTGACTGAACTGTATGAAAAATCAAAGCTCAGTTAACAAAAAGCTTGTGCTGTGTTCCTTCCATATTGAGGGAGGGGCAGATGGGTTAATAAACTTACCCTGATCAGGTTTTTGACCAGGGCAAGACGGTACAGTTCTAGGGTCCTAGGCTGGGGGGAACTGGCTGAAGCCTCTCTATTGTTGGTTCATGAATGACTGGCATGAGTTCATGAGTGACTCGGGTCTGTCCCTGCCCATGAATGTTTGTGTGAGTGCAAGACCTGGAGGGGTCTGCAGCTTGTCACAGCGTCACAGTGTGGACGGGAACCCAGGCTGGCGAGACAAAGGGCTCAGCGGTACCCCAGTTCCAGGTTGCACCCCGGGAACACCCATCACACGCTCCCAAAGTGACATAAACTAAACTGCTAATAGGCCCTCTTCTATGGTTGTCCACATAGGTGGTTATACCGACATAACTACAGCAGTTTATAGTCACACCTTACCTTATACCCATATAATCTTCCCACACAGAGAAGCCCTTTGCCAGTTAACAAAATACTGGGAACAGAAAAGTTAATCATAACATTTACAACAGAAACTTCACAGCAAGTTTACTTTCGCTCTAGAAAACCATGCTTGTGATTGAGCTGTCTAGGCTGCAGCTTGGGTGGCATCTGAAAGTTGCTACTCCCTGATTAATAAGCAAGTTTCCACTTTACCTTAAGGTCATTAACAGCTTGTTCTATATGTCTTATATTGCCAACTTCCTGTTTCTTTTTCAAGTCTAGCTCCTTCAAGAACGTTGTCATGAATTCCTGTTCATGTAAAACAGAATACATACTTGGTCATAAACAATGGTTACAAACATTGTAATTATCCATTTTACTTTCTACAGCTGAAGAATATAGTCAGAAACTGCCCAGATCACGTATTTATACAAGGTAAATATCGATACTTGTTAACTAGATCACGTATTTGAACATTTAAGCAGCCCATCTGTGCTAGCTCTTGCACAGTTCAAAGACATGTACAAGGTGATATCACTTCCGCAAGACATAGGAAAACTTACTGGGAAAGTCTGTTTTTTCACCCTGAAATCTCTATTGTTGCTCAGACAGAAATAATACCACCTGCATATGTGTTTAGCAGTTAAAGGATCCCAGCTGAGCATTTTCATTTGGAAAATCACCCAGGGATCTATTACCTTGCCTGGATTCAAAATCCAGTGAATATGTGTGACACTTTTCAGTGGCAATAGATGTTTTCTGCTCTAGGATGTAGCATAGAGGCTGTACTATAACCAAATTTTATGTAAAGATTAAGCAAATTTATTCTGGCAAATTTTCCTTTACATACCAGCCCTGTTCCTCAATAGGGTTGTTTATGACAGGCAGCTATGAGCATGCTGTAAATAAGATGGTCACCGCTATTTAGAAAGGATGTAGAGAAACTGGAAAGGAGCCAGAGGCAAGTGACCAAGATAATCAGAGGTATGGAATGCAGCTATATGAGCAAAGGCTGAAGGAACTGAGTATGTTTAGTTTGGAAAAGAGGAGATTAAGGGGGGACATGACAGCAGTCTTCAAAGGCTTGAAAGGCTGCCATATAAAAGATGGAGGAAAACTGTTCTCTCTTGCCACAGAGGAAGAGGCAGTGGGTTCAGACTACAGCACAGCAGATTTAGATTAAATCTCAGGAAAAACTTCCTAACTGTAAGAACAGTAGGACAATGGAACAAAGTGTCTAGGAAAGTCGTGGAAGCTCCTTCATGGAAGGTTTTCAAAAAGAGGGTGGAGCCATCTGTTTTGAATGGTTTAGACACATCAAATCCTGCATCTTGGCAGGAGGTTAACTAGATGACTCTTGCGGTCCCTTCTAACCCTATGATTCTAGGATTGCAAGACATAGCAATGGTGGAGTAACTTTAAAAAGGGTACATATTGATTTTTTTCCTAACATGGTTCAATATTTTAAAAGTGTGTCTTTGTTTATTGGCTGAACTACATTTACTAATTCAGGTCAGATTTTGATATCCTTACACTGGTTAGTACTTTACTCTGTGAGTAGCCCTGGTGATTTCAGTGAGGCTATTTGCAGTAAAATACTGCTCCCCATGAGTAAGGGTCTGAGATCCGGACCTCAGAGATTAAGGTGGAGATTTTCTAAAGCAGCCGGCTCCCATTGGAAGTCAATGGGCATCAGTGCCCAGATTGTTAAAGCTATTTAGGTGTTGCTGCGCTTGCTCAGCGTTGAACAGCTATCTGATTTAGGAACCTAGATCTCATTTTCAAAAGGGAGTTAGGCACCTAGAAGTCTAAATTCCATCCATGACGGGATTTAGATTCCTAAATCAATTAGGTGTTGCGATGCTGAGCACAGCAACACCTAAATACCTTTTATAATCTGGGCCTGGGTGCCTATCTGCCCTTTTGTGGCTTGGAAAATCTCCCCATCAGCCTGTTTCCAGCATTCATATAGACCCCATTCCACATGGATTCCTACGGTAGTCGTGAGTAACTGTTTGTATGATGAAGCCCTTAGTTATTTTTTTACATATTAACAGCTTAAATTGTGATTTTAAACATAAGAGCCATACCATGTCCCAAGTAACCCTTTCACATTGTTAGTTCACTCTAATAATACAGCATGATAAGGGATTCAGAAACCTTTAACAAGCACAGTTAATAGTAAACATCGTGCCATTGAAAACTCCCAAAACTGTGTCCTTGAGCATTGGGAACTTCAATGGACTCTGAAAGGGACATGTTGCAGTTTTGGAGACATAGCAGAGTTTTAACTTGTGATGTGAAAACACATACAGAAAGAAATGAGCTAGAGAGAGTGAAAAGAGGAACAGAATTAACCTAATATACATATAAAGTTACGGTTCACGGTGGGTGACAGTAACACAAATACGAACGTTTTGACATGCTTTGAATGAGAATTTCCTTTCTTTTTAGAGAATCAAAGTAAGGAACAGTTTTTCAATCCCTTGAATATTTTTCAGAGTTTGAAATTCTTTTCATCTCAAATAAGGATGAAAAGTCAAAATCTCAAAAATATTTGCGAGCACACAAAAAATTCCGGTTCAGGTAAATCAGAATGTTTCATTTAGAAAATTTCAAAACACGTTGACATTTTCTTTTTTAACCTAGTTAGCTTCATTATTTAAACAAAAAGTGGTTTCAAATCAGAAAAATGCAATTTTTCATTCAGAAAATGTCAAAATGTTTCAAAACTTAGTGTTTTTCAACATTTTTTCAAGTCGGGAGACTCATCAAACCCGAACCTGCTTCATGAACAGTTTTGGTTCCAACAAATTAGTATTTTTTGATAAAAAAAAAAAAAAAGTGATTAATTGAAAAAATTCCCAACCAGCTCGAATACAGAAGGGACCAGAACAGACTGTGCAAGCTGCTCCTTTCATTGCTCTGGACTTTTTGGCTGGTACCTTCAGGCAGGTCAGTTGTGAGAGGTTTGAAGCCTGAACACTGCCTCAGTTTGCACAAAAGGGTCAAAATGCAGGTTTTTAAAGCTCCCAAAAGTATGTATTATCTGATGGCTGAAGACACTGCTGGGTTCTAGCGAGTTTAACTGGGTCAGACTGTGACAAGCTGGTCCATGCTGATCTCCTCCAGATTAGCCTACTGCGGTGTTGTGCCAGTTGACCACCCAGGAAATTGATAATGCTTGTGCATACTTCCTCTGCCATGGTACACAACGAAGCTTGAGTCGAGATTGGCTGTTGTGCATAATCTTGTATGAATTGACAATATCAAGTAAAAATTGTGTTCCTCTCTAGAATGCATGTCTATAACCGCCGCTCTGTTTAAAACAAACCAAATCCAATTGCCGTTTTATTGGAGTGAAAGAAAAGAGCCACTTGGCTGTATCTGGTACAGGATGTCCCGCACTTCGTTGCTTCTGCAGGCTGAGCTCATTGCACACACAGTGATCCATTCATAGATGCCAACGCCAGAAGGGACCACTGGGATCATCTAGTCTGACCTCCTGTGTAACACAGGCCAGAACTGCCCCCAAATAATTCCTAGAGCAGATCTTTTAGAAACACATCCAGTCTTGATTTAAAAATGGCCAGTCATGGAGAATCTACCACGACCCTTGGTAAACTGTTCCAATGGTTAATTATTCTCACTGTTAAAAAAATCACACCTGATTTCCAGTCTGAATTTGTCTAGCTTCAGCTTCCAGCCGTAAGACTGTTATAACTTTCTCTGCTAGACTGAAGAGTCCAGTTTCAAATATTTGTGATATAAGTGCTCCCCACACAGAGCTCCCTCTGAAGTGGGTGCTTTTTAATGGCGGTGCTCAGTGCTCGGACAAAAGGAAAGAGGCACCATCAGATCTGCGTGTTCTATACACCTGCTGATTTCCTTGCATCCCTACATCCCCGCAAAACTAGGTTCCTAGGTGCTCTTCTCCCATCCCCCTCAAATGTCAATAGTTTCATTATTTCTTTCCTTTTGGTCTGGAAATTGGTCATTCAGGGTGTTGACATTTGAAACTGCATTGGAGGAAGGGCAGAGCTGAGACAGGGGCATGCCGTATTGTTATGCTGAAAGGTGTTAATCCTTTAGTTCTTTGATCTATAGACAATTACAGACCTGGATATAGTTGAGGGATATGCATTCCAGAGGCTTTGTGGGTTTCTTATTTCCTTGTTCTCATTTTCCCATTTTTATCAAAATCAATAGGCTTCTGCCCACTGGGGCATAGAATTTTCCCTGAAGTTTTGGAAGAGATCAGATGCAGTGTTCAAAAATTATTGTGTTATATGCAAACAGAGAAATGCTATGAAGTTGAGTGTAGACTTGCTTTGTTTGGCCAACATGGACACCACTGTCTCCTCTGACTAAGATTTTCAGAAGCTGGTTGCCTAAAGTTAAACTCCTGGGTCCATATTTAGGTATCTATGCGGCCTGGCTTGACACTACTGAAAGTCAAACAACTTACTTAGATAGCTAGGTATAGATATAGAAGCCTAAACTTTAAGTACTCTTGGCCTCTGTGAGCAGAGGAAAAGAAGTCCCATTAGACCTCTGATTGGGGCACAGAAGGAGTAATCTGCCTTCAGAGCCGGGTGGATAAAAATTAACGATTTTTTTTTAAATGTAAAAAATCTGATTTTTTTGATAAAATGCTTTTGGAGGAAAAAACCTATCTAAAGATAGTTTTAATTAAGGTACATTATAGCTCAAAGATATCTCATAATGGAATAGGGATTATAAATTCTAATTCTATAGTATGAGACAATATATTCATGTAATGTTTAAGAAAAGTTTTGTAAATGAGTTCCAATAGTTCATGGATTAGGGACCCAATCTTATGAGGATCCGGAGGCTTCTGTATAGATTATTTAGGTTTATCTTTCTATCTACCCAATGGGACTCAGTGCTCAGCCTAGAAGATACCATTAGAGATGCTGAGTTTTGCAGATCTCAAACTGTGGATTTGTGTCGCCAGAGATAACATGCTTCTTAACAGCAAAAATGTTTTTAAATAAATAAATACATAATATATAGAGGTGAGAAATAACAGACCTCAACCCTATTGTCCCTCTGCAAATTTGTGTACAGAGAGACAATCTCTTACCTCTCTCTAAAAGTGCAAAGTTTCAAAAAGTTGAATGAATAAAAGATTGGTGGGGATGGACTAGATCTGGACAAGGAGAAGAAGTCTGGAGATAAATGTGAGAAGGAAGGGACAGGCAGTAGAAACAGAAGTGAAACTGTTTGAGCAGCATATTCCAGAATGCACTTTTATGTAGAAATCCATGATTAGATCCAGTCTTCCTGACCAGTAATTCAGACCAGTCATCTTAACTTCTCTACCCGGAAAGATAATCGAGCAAATAATTAAGCTATCAATTTGCAAACATCTAGAAAATAATAAGGTGATAAGTGACAGTCAGCATGGATTTGTAAAAAAACAAATCATGTCAAACCAACCTGATAGCTTTCTTTGACAGGGTAACAAGCCTTGTGAATGGGGGGAAGTGGTAGACGTGGTATATCTGACTTTAGTAAAGCTTCTGATACTGTCTCGCAGGACCTTCTCATAAACAAACTAGGGAAATGCAACCTAAATGGAGCTACTATAAGGTGGGTGCATAACTGGTTGGAAAACCGTTCCCAGAGAGTAGTTATCAGTGGTTCACAGTCATGCTGGAAGGGCATAACAAGTGGGATCCCGCAGGGATCAGTTCTGGGTCCGGTTCTGTTCAATATCTTCAAAGATTTAGATAATGGCATAGAGAGTATACTTATAAAGTTTGTGGATGATACCAAGCTGGGAGGGGTTGCAAGTGCTTTGTAGGATAGGATTATAATTCAAAATGATCAGGACAAACTGGAGAAATGGTCTGAAGTAAACAGGATGAAATTCAATAAGGACAAATGCAAAGTACCACTTAGGAAAGAACAATCAAGTTGCACACATACAAAATGGGAAATGACTGTCTAGGAAGAAGTACCGCTGAAAGGGATCTGGGCGTCATAGTGGACCACAAGCTAAATATGAGTCAACAATGTAGCACTGTTGCAAAAAAAGCAAACATCATTCTGGGATGTATTAGCAGGAGTGTTGTAAGCAAGACACGAGAAGTAATTCTTTCCCTCTACTCCGCGCTGATTAGGCCTCAACTGGAATATTGTGTCCAGTTCTGGCGCCGCATTTCAGGAAGGATGTGGACAAATTGGAGAGAATCCAGAGAAGAGCGACAAAAATGATTAAAGGTCTAGAAAACATGACTTATGAGGGAAGATTGAAAAAACTGGGATTGTTTAGTCTGGAAAAGAGAAGACTGAGAGGGGACATGATAACAGTTCTCAAGTACGTAAAAGGCTGTTACAAGGAGGAGGGAGAAAAATTGTTTTTCTTAACCTCTGAGGACAGGACAAGAAGCAATGGGCTTATATTGCAGCGAGGGAAGTTTAGGTTGGACCTTGGGAAAAATTTCCTGTCAGGGTGTTTAAGCACTGGAATAAATTGCTTAGGGAGGTTGTGGAATCTCCATCATTGGTGATTTTTAAGAGCAGGTTGGACAAACACCTGTCAGGGATGGTCTAGATAATACTTAGTCCTGCCTTGAGTGCAGGGGACTGGACTAGATGACCTCTCGAGGTCCCGTCCAGTTCTATGATTCTATGATCCAGTGGAATTTCCGAGAGGAGGACCTGCAGAATTTCCTGCCATGTATGCCACTCCCCCCACTTCAAATGCAAGCGCGTGCGCACACATACACACTGCAGCACTGGTCATAAGTGAGTACTTAGAACTGCCTGGAGAACATTTCTGCAAAGCTCCGATTTGAATCCCAGCATACATCTGCTTGTGAGGTCTTCACTTTTTACAGAGGATGAACAAAATAACCTCACTGCTTCCGGAGCATTGCTAAAACACGGTCTCCAATACGAATGGCAGGAGCCCATCTCGCACAGCAACACAACATTTTGACCAGCAGTGTATTCAGTCTGCGCATTTGACTACATTGTCAGAAAAGACAGCTTCGATGGAAATTAGGGGGTTACAATGCCAGAGCCCAGGCTGGTGTGCCAATGTCCCAGCTTACCAACTACACTTAGGGCTTGTCAACATCACGCAGCTTTTAGCGGCAGATGCTAAAAGTCGGCATGTGCAAACACTCTTTGTTGTCAAAATACTTCCAGGTGGCATTCAGTTTGTCGGCAGGAGCACACTGCCACGGCAAAACTTGTGTCTTTTTTGGGGGCGGGGGGCCCTTTTTAAGCACCCGTGAAAGACAAAAGTTTTGTCTACAACTTGGAAGTGTAGACAAAGCCTAAGTATTGATGCCATGTCCTGGAGAGTGCCTCTTTCTCTTCTACTGAATCCACAGGCAAAAAATGAAATCTCTAGCAACAAGAAACCAGCAGATGTCAGCAGAGGCTAGATATTTAAAGAGCTCAAGCTCCCATTTCAGCATCAAGGTAAGCAGCTGGATTGATTCTCCACTGCCAAGTTCCTTGCAAGAGTCATCTACACCGGTGCAAAGTACATATCAAACTCTAGCATCTCAGAATAGTTAGTAGCATTTGACCCCACTTTGCACTCATTTTGCTTAGGTGTAAATGACTACACAAGGCACAAAGCTGTGGCGAAACAGGACCGTAGTATTTTAACTTGCGAGCACTGGGTTTATATTTTGAAACTCTTTGAATACGATAACTATTCTTTCCTCCCCCATTTTCACTTGCTCATATCTTTCTGAAACATTCTGCTTTGAATCTGAAACTTTCCAACCCAAGAGTAACTTTTCTGGAACGTGTAAGGAAAACTGTTTCAGTTACTGGGGGACGGAGCGCCTTTTCTGCTTAAAGGGTATCTGAGGCATGAAGGAGACACACTTAACATGCTCTTTACTGTCACAGAATCAGAACTATTAAACAACCTCCTTAAGAAAGGGGTTGATCCTGCTTCCCAAATGCAGCCTGCAGGCAGATCACCAAATGGAACCTTCTCCGGTCAATGGTCATTACACGGCAGGTTTCCAGGGTTGGGGGCTCCTGGGGGTGACGACCCTCGGTTTGCTCTCCCACCAGCGAGCCCTACAGCCTCACAACAGCCAAAACAACCTGGCTCCATGTCACAGAATCATAGATTATCAGGGATGGAAGGGACCACAGGAGGTCATCTAGTCCAACCCCCTGCTCAAAGCAGGACCAACCCCAACTAAATCATCCCAGCCAGGGCTTTATCAAGCCTGACCTTAAACACCTCTAAGGAAGGAGATTCCACCACCTCCCTAGGGAACCCATTCCAGGGCTTCACCCACAGTAACTCACTCAGAGTGGGGCAATGAAGCGGGATGGGCCCGTCTACACAGCTGGGTACCAGGCAGGGACTCTGCAGGTGAACCAGGGTCAGGCCCTACGCCCGGTCCATACAGGATCAAGCTCCAGGCAGGGGCCTGTGCCCAGGCCCTAGAGGGGCAGACGCCAGGCAGGAGCCCGGTCCATAGAGGGTCCGCGCCCGGTCCATACCCCCGTTACCTTGGTGCCCTGCGCGGCCGGCCCCACCAGGCTGACGCGGTGGCCGCGGTGGGCGCCCAGCACCGGGCACAGGGCGCACACGCAGAGCGCGCAGTCGGCGCAGAACAGCTCCAGGGGCCGCTCCCGGTGCTCGGGGCACCAGCGGCCCCGCTCCCGCAGCGCCCGCAGCTCGGCCGCCGCCTCCCCGGCCGGGCCCAGGCGGTGCCCGCGGAAGGCGGGCGCCCCGCCGGGCTCCCCGAGGTGCGGCCGCGCGTGGGCCCCGCAGTAGGAGGCCAGGCAGGTGAGGCAGCTCCACTCCGCCGCGCCGCC